TTAAGTGAGAATAACAGCACAATTGGAAGAGCATAGTCAATGTCACTGAACTGTGCATGTAGAAATTTTTGAAATGCTGTATCTTTGGCTATGTGTATTTTCACCAAAAAAAAAAAAAAAGAGGTTGAGAAGTTAGAGGGTTGATATGTTATGCAGTTGTTAACCAATGTTATAAAACAACATGTGTACTTCTGTTTCATGGAAACTATTTGTTCTGTAAGCCTTCAGCTGAAGTACAATAAAAAAGAAAAAAAAAAAGATACCTCAAGGCTATCTTCACATAGAGAACAACAGTCTCCACGATGGTGGGTCGGTCCCATTAGGAAGTCTTAAACTCCTATCAGAAAGCAAGAACTCCCCTCAATGGAATACACATTAGAGAACAGTAGTCTGTGAGAAGTAGCTACCAATCTGTTAAACCACGTCTAGGCAAACAGAGGGATAAGGTACAGAAAAATGTTCCCAGCTCAAAAATCTCACCTAGCCAATAAAAAAAAAATAGAGACTTATTTACTTATCCATGGGCTCCCCAAGGAACAGGGACCCTCTTTGTTTTCCCAACACCTAGCTCAGTACCTAGCATTTGGTGGGGCTTAATAATTACAAAATAACCAATTCTACTCCAAAATTATCTCAGAGAGGATGCTATGCTGATTATAACTAGTCATTTACACCACTGTGGGTTAACAAAGTGGGATTAACAACAAATGTGGGATTGAGGAATCTCAGAAATTATCAAAGCATCTTGGTGGGATGGTAAGAAATACAGACTAGACCAGCAACATCCCCTTGGCTCCTGGAAAATTAACCACCAAGATAATCATATCCAAAGAGATTAAGATACAGTTACAGGCCAAACATATACAAAAATGTAAAAGAATGCATAGAAAAGGCATTAGTTAAGATAAATTAAATGCTATTCACGTGACACCAAGGAAAACATTTGTTCTAGGGTGTTCTAACTGCCATAAAACTAAAATTTTTATTGAGTGTATGGCATTGTCCTGCCATATATACACATAAAATTCACTCTTTTTCATGGGTCTAAGGACAATATAGGAACCCTGGTGGCACACCAGTTAAGCACTCAGCTGCTAACTGAAAGGTTGGCATTTTGAACCCACCCAGCGGGTCCTGCTCCCATAAAGATTACAGCCTAGAAAACCCTATGGGGCAGTTCTACTCTGGCATATAGGGTTGCTATGAGTCAAAAATTGACTTAACGGTACCTAGCAACAACAAGCAAAATACAGAAAGTCTTTAAATGTTTACCAAATGAATGAATAAATGCATATTAGAGCTGTAACTGAGTTTTTTAGAGGAATATTACAGTATTAATTTCAATAGTGTTTATTTAAATTACCAATTATTTAGCGCCAATAATCTCATCTACCATGTCTTTTCCTCCCTTCTTTCTCAGAGAAGCTGGCACCGTCTCTACATTCCAAAAGCAAGCACTAATCACACTGCTTGTGATTCAAAACACACACAAAATTTTTTCCTTTAAAAATCAGATAAATATCACTTTGCTTCAGAAATCATGACCCCTTGAACCCTTCTTCAGCAACACCTAGAGCCAACTCCATAACCATAAGAAAACCTACTGATGCCCCCCACTGCATAAAGTAGCAGAGTGCATGGCCAACTTTCCAAAACTGTTCTGTGCAGTCACAACTGGCCTCTGTGTATAAATCCCACCTTCTACGTGAGCCAAGGTGGGGGGTAGGGCGGGGAGGAGGAGACACAGTTTCATCAGGGAAGACAGATGTTCCGATGACCAGCAAAAAGTTGGTAACTGTGACTTCTATGACATAATACTCTCAGAAGATAAAAAGATTTCAGTGGCCATTGTTTCTTATAAGAACAATGGTTTCCAGTTAACACATGGCACAGTTTGTGAAATGATGCAGTGCACTGACCTGTATATAATACATACACATGGAATTAAAGGATTATTAGGATACCGGATGTCCAAACACTGCCAAAATGTGATCCCATAGAAAGAATCAAACTGTGAGCAACAGCAGTATTAGAAGTTGAAAGGATTACAGCACATGGTATCACGTGCCAATAGTCAGGCCACAGAAGACTGGCAACCTTAGGCAGCCTATGCTGTAAATTCCACTTATTTTTGTTTGGAAAGGACATGGGAGTACTACATTCTAAAGAGCCATAGCTATCCCCTCTCTCCAGGCACAACAAGACATCAAAAGGTTAAACGTTCAAGGTTAAGGAAAGGTCAAAGCCATAAATTAATATACCTTTTTAAGTGAAAATTAAATACTTATGCATATATACTAGTCTCTATTAGCACTACATGGACATTAAGCGGGGGGGGGGGGGCGGGAAGAGAGACAGAGAGAAAAATAAATTAACGGCTAACAGGCAAACTCATAAATCCTAACATCTAAAATTAACTGAGCCAGGCACAAAGCCAGAAAAGCACCAGTGCTTAGATAGGTGGTTCTGCCTGTTACTACAAATGACACTTATGCCTACTGGTCCCAGGGAAACAGAGGAGGGGGCTGGAATGGCTGTCTCCCTGCTGAGAGCCACGCCAGCCCTCACACAGCTGCCATCACTGGCAACCAATCGATGATGAAAGCCCAGCAAAGGGGAAAAAAACATGGATGCTTTGGGCAACTGAGGTCCGGGCAGAGACCAGACACCAGAGCATGGGCCAAGGATGGCCCCAGGAAGTTGGTTCCAGAACTGTCAACACGAGGGGACCCAAGCCTTACACATAATTCTGTATAAATATTCTGCTAGTAGCAAAAACATGACTATGTTTCATAAACTAAACAATACATTACACTGTACATAGATACATTATACATACATTACAGTACACTACAGTATAAATTAAGTACAAGGATAAAGTTGTACGTTTTCCAGATCTGTTTAGCCTTACATTTTAAATTAGGCTACACAATGCACAGATTTCACTGGGACATAAGCAACAATTGCCTAATAATACTTAGGCTAAAGCAAGGACACCTACAATTTAATGTTTATTTTTAAAATCTGCATTAAGAGCACCACAATCAAACATAAGTATCATGGGTAAATTCTTGAGTGATATTTCCAAACAGCGCATAAGTTTAAACGTATACTCTAAATATAAAAAAAAAAAATTAATGTACACTTAAGAGCCCTGGTGGTGCAAACGGTTAAGTGCTCGGCTGCTAAGCAAAACACTGGCAGTTCAAACCCATCCAGTAGCTCGGCGGGAGAAAGACCTGGCCATCTGCTCCCGTGGGAGAAAGACCTGGCCTTCTGCTCCCGTAAAGATTACAGCCTAGGAAACCCTCTGCGGCAGTTCTACTCTGTCACATGGGGTCGCTATGAGTCGAAATTGACTTGATGGCACCTAACAACAACAACAAAGGGATTTTTAGAAAGCCTCCAACTCAACTCTCATGTTAATGCCACAGAACTGTTAGCGAATTTGCCTAAAGTTAAAAACCAAGTTAGTGGCAGAAGCAGGACCCAACCCTCCCCAGTTTCTTCAGTGCTTTTTCCACTCAGACAAAGTAATGTTGAAAACTGGCTGAATGACAAAGGCATGATTTCACTGGTTACCGAGATAGCAAGCCACAAAGTAATAATTTCAGTACGAGCAAAGCACAGCTGAAATTCTGAGGATCCTAAAAACCTTAAATGTATGCAAATTTTTTAAATAAACATTAAACTGTGGAAGCCCTTGCTTTAGCCTAAGTATTGTTAGGCAATCATTGCTTCTGTCCCAATGAAATCTGTGCATTGTGCAGCCTAATTTAAAATGTAAAGCCAAACAGATCTGGAAAAGTACAGCTTTATCCTTGTACTTAATTTATACTATAGTGTACTGTAATGAAGCCTGAAATAAAAGCTATATTCTGAGTGAAGACAAAAAGCTCTTGTTGATGACATTCCATCTCCAATGTAGAACATAACAAAAAGCTTCTTCATTCGGAGCCAACTGTCATTATACTTTGTGGCTTGTATGGAGCTATTGGACTAATATTTGTACTGGGATTAGTGTTGGGATAACCAATCAGTTAACTCTTCCACTGCAGTTTTCTATTATCCTCATACAAATGGCAAGAGGAAAAAAAGAAAATTGGCAGACAGAACAACAACTATATTTATGAGATTAAACTTTCAAACTGTTCACAGTTTGCTGGGCAACTAATAACCATTTGCCAAGCTGTTCATTTAATAATGAGTCAGTTAAGCCAAAAGCAAATGTTCCTTCAACCAACCAAGGCTACTACTATAGTCACATCCACATTGACAAGCTCCAATTATTTTTGTAATATACTTCGTTTAGAATAAGAACTACAAGTTGCCATGTAAGAAAAACACACTCTCCTTTTTTTAGCCAAATGCAAGCTACCCTGCAGTATTATGAATAACTGAAATTTGCTTGTGATTTTGTAATGTATGAAAGCCAAAATGACCAAAAAATATTTTGGAGAGCAATTCTCATGTTTGTCACGATTCTAGAACGAGGACCAGAGGCTTGCCATCTAACTCTGCAGGCAGTAATTATGTGATCTCAGGTCTTCTAACTGTTCCCTCATTTTATAAAACAGTGTCAATACTGAGACCATCTCCACATAGGAATTAAAATAACTGAACCAAATACTATTTATCAAAGCAGAGTAAATTATACATTATACAATATTAATGTATTAAAGTATTATTCATCAGGAGAGGGGAAAGCAGTATGGGCTGCTTTCCAAGAAATGCATGAGTCAAAATAGGAGTTAACACCAAGTCCTCTTTGCTCTTATCTCTGCACCTTCCATCCATCTCTCACTTTTACTTACTAATAGTTCATCCATACTGGTCTGGCATTTTTCCAAGTTGATCCGCTTTATTGCTACTCGTTCTTGTCTTGGCTTGCACAGAGCAGCCTGAACCACAGCAGTAGCTCCACTGCCTGAAAAGAAATAAAAACAAATCAGTTATCAAACAGTACACTGTTAGTTACTATCTGCAACCCTTTTCATAAATAAATATTTATTTATTTTTAAAGTCGTTCAGGTATTCAAAATGTTACCACTTGATATCTTTTTTAAAAGCTTCTTCAATCCTAAAATGATTATCTGGAGGAGAAAATGGAAAAACCAGATTTTTCTAGAGGATATAAAGACAGTATCTGCTCTCAAGAGGCTTACAGTCCACGGAGACAAGTCACATCAAAAGGGCCCATTCAATACAGTGAGTTTACCTCTGCCCAGAACAAAGCCTGGGAAAGTGGCGGGTCTGAGGACACAGGAACAAAGTGCATGGGAATGTAAGCACAAACCTGAATGGAAGCCAGTACCATGCCTTTAAAGTATCTCAAGCTTTTCTCCACTTCTGCACAAACCAAACCTCTCCAGCCTGAGCTACTTCAAGGCTGCCACAAGATGCTCTGACAACTTATCTGTTCTGAGCGCTCGTTGAGCTTATTTCTTCATAGCTTGCTCTACAATTAGAAAGACATGAAATCAATCCTAGTATTCTCATGTTGAAATCACGACTTTCAAGGATGCCAAGCAAAATGATGCAAGTGTGTAATTACAAAAGCTCTCGGCATTCGTATGAATTTCTTATTTCTAAGTTTCATGATCATTAGCTAATGCACGCAAACTCCTAGGAGACACAGCCATGCCATTATCCATATTTCACAAGAGCAAAATGCAGATGTGCAATGATTTCTGGCAGAGCACAAAGAGCTCCTAATCGGATTTCTGTTCCATAGGGGTGAAAAGACCCCCTGGTTAAAGCATCTCTATTCTGAAAATAATACCAAAAATGTCATTCTAATTACATAAATCTTCTGCCACTGCAAGAGAGCCAAGGAAAGAAACAGGCTGCTCTCAGGATTGTGCAAAAGGGGGACAGATGTGACCAGCTAACTTTCTCCTTGTAGCTTCTCTTTGGGTGATACTTCCCAAATGAGTCATCAAATGCCACCAAAAGGGGTGGGGGGGTGGGGTTAGGCAGTAAGGAAGCGAGATCAGTAATAGCTTTCCTTATATATGTAACAGAAATGCATGATACTTTCAGTGCAAACCAAGGCTTTCCCACCCCAGTGAAGTCTTTAGGCCTGGGGCTCTGCCTTTTCTGCCCTGCAGCTTCATCATCAGCTCTGACCCCCCTGACTTGGTAACTCTGGTAGATTCTTTAATGCTCTAAACACTGGTCTCCAACTTCAAGACTCCCATTCCAGGGAAGCCCAACCAGCATTCACTGCGGAAGAAAATCCACACTTACTGTCCACCGACTGTATGGCAAGCACTTTACTCATACAATTATTGCTAAAATTTTGCACATTTTTTAAAAATTGTATTTATTTTGTTGTTGAGAACTCTGCACATTTTTATTATTATCCTCATTTTTATCTGTGAGAAAACTGAACCAAGGCTCAGAAAACTTGCCCAAGATTACACAGATAATAAATATATGAGTCAGATCAGAGTCAGGTCTGCCGGACTCAAAGGCTTTTTTCTACCTCTCAAAAGCCAGAACATACCCTTCCGTTTCTCACTTGTTTTGGCTTTGCTAGGAAAATATTTCCCTCTATCCTATTCTATTCAACAAAAGACAAACAACTTGGAGGGATGGTTCCAGTTAGTGTCACACTCTCTAGAACTCAGTTTAGAGAGTGCGCTATGGTCAGAGGTTGTTTAAAAGGACCTTCCTTTCCCAAATCTCACTGCTCCCTTCGTCAGTTGTTACTCCACATCCCAGCAGGTTGGCCTCACTGGCCCTGCAGTCACAGCATGTTGGGTTCAATCCAGAATGTTCCAAATACCAGAGCCAAACACCACAAAGAGCCCTGCTGATAGCAAAGTGTATTTTCCAGTAGAGGTCTCCAGAACAAGAGACCATCCCTGAAGGGAGCTGCAGAGAAAGTGCTAAGTAGCTGATCAGCACTGGGCCTGGCACCCAGCAGAGAAATCAACAAACACCATTAACTAGCTGCTGATAGGAAGCCATTCTCAGTGTCACTTGCTATAAATCTTCTTTTCTCGAAATTCTACTCTCCCATCTTTAATGCTTGCTAGAAAAGAACATCATGCTTGATAAATTAGAGGGTCAGTGAAAACGAGGGGAACCCTCCATGAGATGGACTGACATGGTGGCTGCAACAATGGGCTCAAACATACCTATGACTGTGAGGACGGCAAAGGACAGGGCTATGTTTTGTTCTATTATACATAAGGTTGTCATGACTGACAGCAACTAACAACAATACCCTTAAACCACACCCCACGACATTCTCGAATCAGGGGAAGTAAAAACAGAAAATTTATTTAAAAAAAAAAAAATTCCCAGGAAGGACACAAGTATATAGAATACTGAGATACCTCTCTTAAAGTCTATTAAGCATAAAAATCTTCTGACTTCCAGGAACACACACAAGAATATGGACAGAAATGAGAATTTTTAAAAAGAGTAAAGTAGAGCTTTCCAAGGAGAGAACTGTTCATTGCTACACAACTGCAGCTGACAAAAGAACAACTGGGAGCTTCTCATCTCTAGATAGAATAAATAAGAAACCTCCTGATCTAAGACTATGGTCACAGTATGATCCAAGCATGATATTTTCAACTGCCTCATATGCATGCAAAAGCTGGACAATGAATAAGGAAGCCCAAAGAAGAATTGATGCCTTTGAATTATGGTGTTGCTGAAGAATACTGAATATACCGTGGACTGCCAAAAGAACGAACAAATCGGTCTTAGAAGAAGTACAGCCAGAATGCTTAGAAGCGAGGATGGTAAGACTTCATCTCACATACTTTGGATATGTTATTAGGAGGGATCAGTCCCTGGAGAAGGACATCACGCTTGGTAAAGCAGAGGGTCAGCGAACAAAAGGAAGACCCTCAATGAAATGGACTCACATACTGGCTGCAATAATACGCTCGAACATATCAATGATTGTGAGGATGGCCAGGACTGGGCAGGGTTTCGTTCTGTTGTGCATGGGGTCACTATGAGTCATAACTGACTCAACAGCACCTAACAATGAATAGATTAATCATTCATTGGGAGATTCTGTTTTGAATCCAAACATTTCCTTCAACTACAAGAGCGATCAAGAATAGTGTTAGAGGTAAACGACACCTTAGAGACCACAAGTCCAACTCCTTGTTTTATGAATGAGGAAACAAGGTCTTGTGAAGGATAAGTAATTATCTTCAAGATCATACAACTAGTAATTGAAACGCATGGGATTAGAATCCCAGGCATCCTTATTCCTAGTGCACTAGCGTACCATTCTTTTCACTAGATTGGTGGTTTTCCAAATTACTAGTCACAATCTATTATTGGTCATGAAATTAATTTAGTGGGTGGAGAAAGCCAGCATTTTTTTTTTTTAATTGAGTGGAATGGAAATAAAAGGAATGGAACAGAACCAAATGAGACAGAACAGAAAAGAAAGGAAAGGAAAAAGTCAGGATGCATTTTACATAGTAAGGGTAAGAGTAGCTTTATGAAAGTCTTGTTTCAGTTAGACTCAAGCTGAAGTAAAATACATGTTTCACTGTGAGTCATAATCAAAAGTTTAAAACCTGCTGTACTAGATTATGATTCCCAGGATTAGAATAAATCCATGCTTTGAAAGGGAAAGAGGACGAGACCGAACTACAGAATTCTAAAGGACATTTAAAAGTAATAAGAAGACAATCATATTTTAAGGATTTTCATGCACTTTCCTGATTAGTTTAAAAGGAAGCTAAAAATGTAGGGTTTGTAAACAGAGGATTACAAATGTGAAATAATAATAGTAATGAATATATTAAATAGAATCTTGTGTCTATTTTGAACCATGTATGATATTTACATATAATTAATTAACATTTGACAGTATATTTTCAATTTAGTATCATGCACTGCTTTGGGAGTCAGACGCTCTTAACATTTCAGACATTTTATTCCTGACTCGTATTTCAAGTGAAATAAATCATTCTATAGGATTATGGCCATATACACAAGCTAACAGAGATGACTTTGAATCTTTTCAGTTCATTCTAAGTCAATCCACTGTTGGTAAATAATTCCAGACTAAGACCAGCTACTTAGAAGTTTTAGGTAGTAATTATGTCAATAGCAATCAGAGGCAAGAGATCGCTCAAGCTCCTCACAAGATGCAGTTGAGTTGACATCTCTTCTCATCTTCCCCTTTGTAATGCTGCTGGTATTAAGGTAAGTCACTAGAAAGTTGCATACCTGCACTTCACACTTTCAGTTATCCAAAGAAATACTTTAGGGAAATACAATTTAGTGTTAAAATTTTGGCTTTCACTAATATAAGAAATCAGGATGAAGAACTTCAGTACTTATTTTGTAAAAACCACAACTGAGAACCATGACTATCCGATTATAGTCTGAAGATTGTGTTCGATGTCCCCACTCTTAGGACCCACACAATAAATCACTCTTTGCATTTAGTGCTAGGGTAAAAATATCTCCCTCTCAAATAACTTAATGAGTAGATAGGAATATGTAACATCATATTTTCCTTTTGTCCTCACAGTCAGAAAGCTCAGATCTACGTTTTATGTTTAATAATAGCAACAATTCTTACCCTAGATCTTCTGTAACTTCTGCTATCACCCCCTCTATTATACAGTCATGATGGAGCAACAGTTAAGCACTCCGCTGCTAACCAAAAGGTTGGCGGTTCAAATCCAGCCAGCAGATCTACATCAGAAAGAACTGGTGATCTGCTCTGGTAAAGATTAAAGCCTAGAAAAACCTATGGGGCTGTTCTATTCTTTTTAAGGGGTCGCTACGAGTTGAAAATCAACTAACGTCACAAAACAACACTACATTCCTTTCCACTTAATTCAGTAGTGCTGCCATTATGTGAAGCAAGTTTCCTTCATGAAATGTCACTGCCTGATCACCAAATGAGAAAGAATGTGCTTAACGGCCATT